CATGGGCTCGTGCCCCAGTCCGGGAGGATCCCGCATGCCGCGGAGTGGCTGGGCCCGTGAGCCATGGCCGCTGGGCCTGCGTGTCCGGAGCCTGTGCTCCGCGATGGGAGAGGCCACAGCGGTGAGAGGCCCGCGTACCGCAAAAAAAAAAAATAAAAAAGCACATCCACAATTTTCCTCTTTCCTCGTTATTTCAATGCAAGTTTTGGGGAAGTTTTCCCCCTTTAGTTTCGTTGTTCTATGTTCTATTCAGATGAGCTTGTGACTGAACTGGAGTAATCAGCCTAGCCGAGAGACCCACGCTCACTGCTGAGCATTACATTTCCTGTTTGGGGAGCGGCTAAGACCGTCTTACAATTAGTTAGTTGTAAGTTGGGCAGAAACCGAGTTGCTTTTGTAATACTACTAAAGTCCAAATATGTGTAGAAGGGTATATATGGATGCTGAGTGGCTAAAGGGGAGGACTGTACCAATGATTAAGCCCTTACCTCTGCTTCACACTCACTGTTTTTAACTGTTTTTGTGATACTGGGCATAGAACTGGACACAATTCTACTTTGCCAGCTGGCAGACCACTGGATTCCCCAACAGGGTGCACTTCAGCGCTGGAGGAAGGAAAAGGGACGAGCTCCAGCCTTGTGGAGCTCTGCAACAGCAGCGTGTTCCCACAGCTGAATCCAGCTGCCTCTCCCAACAAGCTCAGACCAGCTTCCTTCCGCCCTCAGACACCAGCCCAGGTGAGCAGCGTCCATCCTCAGAGGCACCTCCCCCTGAAGGCGCTACTGCCTTGGTTTTTTAGTGTCTCCTTTAGGCCTTTTTAACGGCTGAGTCAACAATTCTACCATATTGTTAAAATAACTTGCATGGTTTCTGTCTCCACTTGGACTGTGACTGATATACACGGAAAGGAAATTTCTACATATTGAAATGAAGTCTCAAAACTAGTTTTAAATCTTCCATCAACAGTCACTGAGGCTCTGCATTAAGTTTCATTCTCCCATGGTATTTCACGTGGGCACTGGTCATTGGAATGCCCCACACGTCCATTTTTGGGCTAAATAAAACATTCCAAGTTAAGGCCTGGGGTGATTTCTTACTTCCAAATCTAAACCTTCCTTTGAACCCCCTTCCATTCCAATATTCCTCATCCCAAATTTAGAAGAACTAGAATTAACAACTATTTTGATATTAAAAATGTAAATTGCTATGGCAACGATTAATGTCAATTAGAGGATAGTTTTATGATACACTTACGTCAATGATACTGCAGTGTCTGGACTACCCATTATTTGGTTCTGGAACGCGTTTAAAAGCGGAGTGGCTGGGCCCGTGAGCCATGGCCGCTGGGCCTGCGTGTCCGGAGCCTGTGCTCCGCGATGGGAGAGGCCACAGCGGTGAGAGGCCCGCGTACCGCAAAAAAAAAAAATAAAAAAGCACATCCACAATTTTCCTCTTTCCTCGTTATTTCAATGCAAGTTTTGGGGAAGTTTTCCCCCTTTAGTTTCGTTGTTCTATGTTCTATTCAGATGAGCTTGTGACTGAACTGGAGTAATCAGCCTAGCCGAGAGACCCACGCTCACTGCTGAGCATTACATTTCCTGTTTGGGGAGCGGCTAAGACCGTCTTACAATTAGTTAGTTGTAAGTTGGGCAGAAACCGAGTTGCTTTTGTAATACTACTAAAGTCCAAATATGTGTAGAAGGGTATATATGGATGCTGAGTGGCTAAAGGGGAGGACTGTACCAATGATTAAGCCCTTACCTCTGCTTCACACTCACTGTTTTTAACTGTTTTTGTGATACTGGGCATAGAACTGGACACAATTCTACTTTGCCAGCTGGCAGACCACTGGATTCCCCAACAGGGTGCACTTCAGCGCTGGAGGAAGGAAAAGGGACGAGCTCCAGCCTTGTGGAGCTCTGCAACAGCAGCGTGTTCCCACAGCTGAATCCAGCTGCCTCTCCCAACAAGCTCAGACCAGCTTCCTTCCGCCCTCAGACACCAGCCCAGGTGAGCAGCGTCCATCCTCAGAGGCACCTCCCCCTGAAGGCGCTACTGCCTTGGTTTTTTAGTGTCTCCTTTAGGCCTTTTTAACGGCTGAGTCAACAATTCTACCATATTGTTAAAATAACTTGCATGGTTTCTGTCTCCACTTGGACTGTGACTGATATACACGGAAAGGAAATTTCTACATATTGAAATGAAGTCTCAAAACTAGTTTTAAATCTTCCATCAACAGTCACTGAGGCTCTGCATTAAGTTTCATTCTCCCATGGTATTTCACGTGGGCACTGGTCATTGGAATGCCCCACACGTCCATTTTTGGGCTAAATAAAACATTCCAAGTTAAGGCCTGGGGTGATTTCTTACTTCCAAATCTAAACCTTCCTTTGAACCCCCTTCCATTCCAATATTCCTCATCCCAAATTTAGAAGAACTAGAATTAACAACTATTTTGATATTAAAAATGTAAATTGCTATGGCAACGATTAATGTCAATTAGAGGATAGTTTTATGATACACTTACGTCAATGATACTGCAGTGTCTGGACTACCCATTATTTGGTTCTGGAACGCGTTTAAAATGAAGACCCACGCACTGAAGGGCAGCAGCAGTAGTAACAAACTACCCGTGTCCCCATTTCCATTGCATTCAAGAGTCCACAACCAGGTTCTTGCTGACGTTCTCCATTTATTGCTGCAGTACACAACTGCTCTGAAAGTGCAGCACTGACTCACTCCTGTCACAGCTTCTGCGCCTCCACTGGCTAATACCTGGAAACTCATTCTTGGAGCATCGTGGACCACAAGCTTCTCTCTGGGTGGGAAATTATTGTCACTGCCAATGTCACAGGGAAACACACACACATATGAATAGAGGGATAAGATGAGAAGAACCCTGGAGAGGAGTGGGGACCAGTTTCTGAGGGGTCCTGGAAACAGCCTGCCTGTGCAAAGGGGACAGTGACAGCCCACCTCCCAGCAGCAACCTGACACGTCTGCTAGGTTGGCTCTGGTGCACCTTTTCCCCTTTGTCTCTACAACTGGTGATACCGTAACTGTGTCCTATCTCAGTGTAGCAGAGGCGCATGGAGTCAAAAAGAATTGAAAAGACCTCGCAAGCTAACGTGAAAAACAGGTGGTTTGGAAAAACTGACTCTTCAATCCCCGATTTAAAGCTGTTAGGCAGATCTGGAGAGCTCTAGGGGTAAGATGCTGCCTAGCAGAAAATAACTCTTGTTCTAGCCAGCATGTGTCTGATGGGAAAAAAATAACTTTTGAATACTGCAAAGAAAAGGTTGGCAGCGGAGGCATGTGCAGCTCTAGAAAACATAAGAGATTAAAAAATCTGAACAAATGAGATAAAAAAAAAAAGTAAACACAAATATGGACAATACACCATAGCACTCGGCCTGACGAAACCCTCACTCACAAACACGTTATACACATATGCACCCAACTCACACACTAATAATAGTCAGGCAGATGCCCAAAGGAGGGCAAATCCAAACATCTGCTCTTTGGAATTTTTATGGCAAATCTGAGTTTAGGCAAAAGTGAAGACCCCCCTGGGTCTAAACTCGGAAGGCCGCCTTTGCTCCCCATTGTAGCCAATGCTGCTCCTATATTTGCCTGAGCCCTTCCCAACTGTCTGGGCACTAGAATTTATTCTTCATATTCCTGGAGTTTAAGTCACTGCTAGATCTTATCTGATCCAACTTCAACTGTAATGGGAGCACCTCCCTTTTGGCTCTATACTCCCCTGTTCTTTCAGGAAAAAACATCCCAAGACAGTGGTAATTCCAGGGTGTTCAGGAGTTGGAAAGTAGGAAGACAGTAATATAAATACAATAAGCAAATGCCTGTTACTCTCATATGATTTCTCTGAGACCAGGTGGCTAAGGCCCCCTGGCCTGCAAGGATAGGTTTTAGGAGAGGCCTTAATTTAAGGTACTGCGGTCTCTGCTCACAAGAGCCAAGTAAGCCAGTGCTCCTTGGAGGCTGCCGTAGGACTGGTCCTCGGTACTTATTTCAACCCTAGGTGCTCTTTGACCTCTCTGATTTCAGTCCTTCTGGAGTCAGATCACCCAGCTTCTCTGACGTGTGCCTGGTCATTTTCAGAGCCTGCCGGCAGCAGCTACAAGGTTTCTATCCGGGCATCCTGGATCGGCACGCATCTGCTAACACGTACACCAGGTGATGAGGACTGAAGGTAGGTTTCTCCAACCACTGCAGACAGGTACAGCCGTGCAGAGAAAGCCATCCATCATGGTCACCTTTTCTTCAGATGTCCCAGTTTCCAGATCATAGAATTCACCATATTGTGTTAATACCTGGCAACAACCAGCTTTTGCTACCCTTTCTCAATCAGAGGCATGCAAGAACCCACAGAAACAGGCTGGACACACAGGCCCTGCTCATGAGGGAAAACGGTTTCAGAAACCGCCCTCAGCTCCTAATCCTGTACTTGGAACCTCTATTATAACCTAGCTCCTCATTAAACTGGATTCTGCTCCGGTTTAATTTATGCAGTCATACCTTCTAAGTTGCCTCAGTGAAACCAGTGTAGCCCACTGGATTAAACTTCTAAGTGCAGCAGTGCCTACAAGGAAAGAGTCCCACAGGAGGGAAGACTGGAGGGCATAAGGCAGGAGACAATACAAAATCAGTAACACATTTTCCGAAAGTGGTGGGCTTGGGGGAAGAGGGGCGTGAAATAAACAAAACGTCCCAATAATTTAATGGCAGATCTAGAAGACAGCATTTATAGCTACTCCGGGACTCTCCAACAAAAAGCTTTTCCTGGATGCACAGACATTCATAATACTGATCACGCTCAGTTGACAGCTCTGGCTTGTACACGTGGTCATGACGCCCTTTGTACAGCAGAGGAGAGCACGACAGGGTGCCCGGGAGGCATCTGGACAGCACACAGAAAAAGGAAAGGCTGAACTCCCCCAACAGAACCCCATTAAAAAAAAAGTTTGTCTATTACAAAGTCACGTTTTCCATTTTCTCTGCTTTATAAAGTCAGCGATGCTGGAGGGTGTCTAGCGGAATCCATCCTCCAGGAATGAGTGCAAAAGGGGAGCACGAGGCTCAGGGACGTCCCCTCAGTGAGCAGATGGAAGGGCCAGCCGGAGACCTCCCATCCGTTTCGGACAAACACACACATACAGAAAAGGATTATTGCCAGCTTGTGTACTTTCACAATGTGATTTTTGTATTTCGAAAGCTTGAATTGTCCCTGAAAGAAAAAAATGGGAGAAAAGAGAGCATTCAATACACAGGTCATCTCTAGGCAACACACACACACACACACACACACACACACACACACACACACACACACGGGGAAACCTGGCCTCGGCAGCTCTCGGGCCCTCCTGACACGGCACTTGGATTCAACTGGTTGCAATTACAAAAGGTCAGAAACAACCCAAACGCGTGTGAACAGGGGACTAAAAATTAATTAATAGGGGACTAAATATTAAAGGGATACTGTGCAGCTTAAAAAAAATGAAAGTAAAAGAAACTCTCTACTAATATAGAAAGATCGTCAAGAGAAACTGAAAATGTTAAGGTGCAGAACAGTGTGTGGACTTGATATGCTGCCTCCTGTGTGAGTGAGGAAATAAGGCTCATATCTGCCTCAAGGAAGTCATACATAATAAAATGCTGTTAGCTGGGGCAGTGTGGTGGCAGGGGAAGGGACACCAGAAGCTGGGCAGATGGAGAAAGAGTGGGACGGAAACCTCTTTCTCTCTTACACACAAACACACACTCATGCACACGCATTTTTTTTAAAAAATTTGAACCACAGATTGTGTTACATATTCAAAAAAATCAACCAACCAACCAAAAATCCCTTGGTTCAAAACTTATAGCTGCTTATGAAAGGATATTCTAAGAGGTGAAACCTGAGTACACTTTACTTTAGAAACTTAGCACGTGCACACACACATGCGTGTGTGTGTGTGTGTGTGTGTGTGTGTGACAGATCTTGTGATGTCTTCTTAGTTGCCTCCTATTGGATGCAGACAGGTTTGGCCGCCCACTAGTACCTCTCCTGTTCCAGCCTAGAAATCCAACAACACCTCGGCAGTTCGCATCGCCATTTTAATCCCCAAATCTCAGGGTTGGAAGGGGCTTTAAAGGTCACTCCATCTACTGCTCTGGCCCAGTGCTTCAGACTTAAATTCGTCTGAAATTTTGAGACAGAAATTCTCATTAACCTGATTTTGGAATGATTTCTTCCATGTAATGTTAATGGAACATTCTAGAAGCTCTGGTTTTAACTGACCTGTCTTAAAATTGCTACAATTGATTGGGAATCTGGCAATTGGTCCAGAGTGAATTAATACCGACGAAGGAATGTGCTCAGCCCAGCCAAACAGCAGTTTGCTCCTGCTGCTGGCTAACAGATTCTCCTCCATGACGGTAGCAGGCTGACAGTAACTCACAGCCCTCACCACACAGAGAGTAACTGCAGACAAGTACACGGAGAGGGAAAATGCATGGAGCCGGCATGGGTGAACTCTGGCTGGGAAGAAACTGACGTTATCTCAAAAGCCCACTGGTATTTTTGTAACTGACATGCATGACCATGCAGCTCAATGATCAACGCTATTGAGAATTTCAATGATTTCCATCTAAGAAGTTGAAGACTGAACACAAAGAGAACTTAGTGGGGTAATCATCTTTTTAAAGGGCCTTTCAAAAGGGCAGACTCCACTGAGGGGCCGCAAGAAGCTAGCGAAGAATAAGAATGCATCTGATCACAAGGCAGAGAAAAGCAGGAGTAACTGAGGTGTGCTATTTGGGTCCCCTTAGGGACGCTGCGCTGTGACAGTCTGCACAACGGAGGACACAGCACCTCTAGTGACACAGAAGTGGTTAGGAAGAAGGATGTGCTGCTTCCTTCTTCCCCTCTGATGCCATCTCTGTCCCCACAGATCAACTGGATCACAGAAGTCAATCAGCAGGGAGACTAGAAAGCCAGGGCTGCGGGAAGGTAGAGTCAGAGAATCTTCTGACTGTGGGAGAATTATCTGTCTTATCTGGAGTCAGAGAGATGGCAGGCAAATATCTGGACTCAGCCCTTTCTGCTGTTTAGTGATGTAAAGAAGAGAATCTTTAGGATTAATCATCACCATACGCTGGCCACCGACGCTCTGGAGAACTCCTACACTGTGCTGGGGCTGGGCCAGAACAAACCCTCCCGGTGGCAGGTAAGCTGAAGGGCTCTATAGCACCTTCCCACTAAGATACGTAATATTGATTCTAATTCTGTTGCCACAGATCTCTTCATAGTCAGAAATCTCTAAGAAGTCAGAATCATTCTAAGGTTTATTTGTAAAATGGAAGTGGGGAGGGACAGAGTAACAGAGCCAGGAGAATCCAGCTGAGGTTTTCCAGAGTCTGATAATAAAGAAAAACAAAGAGCATTGAGGGTGGGCAACAGGCTCCTGACAATGACAGGCTGAAGCAGGCGGGTGGCAGCTGGCGGCTCAGGTCCAGCCTTTCTAAAAAAAAAAAAAGTGGGTTGAGAAGAGCTTGGTGCCAAATTTAGTCTGAGGAATGTGTTCACCTCAAACCAGCTGGGAACTAATCCTCAGTTATGTCCCTCACCCCAGGCTGCAGGGCACAGAGAGATTAGGAGAAAGAGAGATTAGACAGGAAGTGGCAGAGGCCACAAGCAATTTTTCTTTTTCTTTTTTTTTTTCTTTTTAAAAGATGGGCTTCTCTTCTTTTAAAAGCAAACTAAAATTCAGACAATCTAGACTGAGCTCCGGAAAGCTAGACCCTCCAGGCACCTAGCAATGTGCAGACTATTGGGAAGCTTTTTGGGTTTTGATCTGTTCAATGGCTTTCAATGATATAACAGATCGTTTAGAAGGAAATGATAACATTTTTACATCACGGTCTTCAGGGAATCCTTCTCTGGCTATCCAGCTGTCCGGCCCAGGCCAGCTCTGGCTTCCTCCTCTCTCCCTCCCTGCAAAGCAAATAAAATTGCAAACCCCCTAGGTTTACTAGGGCAAACTTCAATCTCTCATCTCTACCGAGTGACCACACCAAGTTCATTCGCCATCAAGAGAGATCACTGCTTCTGTGCACGTCAGCCTAGACATGCAGGGACCCAGAATCTACCCCACCCCCCAACCGCCCCAAACCAGCAGCTAACTGGGACTTCTACTGAAGCCATGGTTAAAAGGGCAATGTTTATTTGTAATGGTAATAGAGGTCAAATGACATAGTCCTAAAATATTAGCAGCCACATGTAATGTCACAAAACATCAGATAAATTGAGGAAAAGTATTTGTGGTTCAAGAATTATTTAAATAGCAGTTTTTAATTTCTTCATAGATAATGATCTACTTGGAAGGGAGACGAGGGAGGGAGGACAAGAAGGCTAAAGTTTGGGGCCTCTAAAATGGCAGCTCAAACCACCACAAGCTGGGTATGCGCATCTTCTTGGAACTCCCCTTTTACCACTTACAAGGTTAAATCAATAAAGGTGAAATATGAAGTCTTTCTCAAGTCTGTCAGGACAATGAAGTGAGTTGGGTTTTTTTTGTTTAGACTCTAATACTCCTCTCATTCTCCCAAGTCTGTGCTTCAAGGAGAACACCTAACCCATGGAATGCTCCCTTCAATCTGCCCTATAGAAAAGATATTGGGCGGGGGGGCGGCAACAAAAGAACAGAGAGACTACAAAACGACAATTATGCAACTTCCGCAACTATAGGACTTTTCAACGCGATTCAAAGATCTTTTTCCTGGGGAATTTGGTGTTAGCTAAGGGGAGAGGGAATAATTTTAAGTCTTCCATTCTGTCTATTCCAATTTCATTTTAAAGCTTTTTTACTTATGGAACCTAAGATGCTGTTGAATTTTAAAGGCACCACCATTAAGAGGTAAACGCTGCCAATTTAAACTACGACAAAAACCTTTCTTATCACATTCACTGTAAGCATCCCAATTTTAGGGACATTAAAAGCAAAAAAAAAGGAATCTTAGAATTAAATATGGTAATGCTATTAAAACAAATCCATTATAGCGCCAGGCCTCTGGAAATTTAACTGATTTATTTTGAATATCTGCTGCTTTCCAGCCTACAAATCAATGTATCAGTACTAGAGCTGACACATGTTTTTCATCCATCTCAGAATTCTATATTGACTATACAGAGAAACTCTTTAAATTCCAACTTTGAAAATCTAATGTTATCATCTAGAAGCTGAATTTATAATAAAGGAATTAAACTATTGAAAAAACAGATATGAGTGGCATGAGTGTATAGGAATTCTGGGTCTGTTTATTACTCAGACCCCTGGCCACCCGCTTCTGTCCCTCACAGTGTCATGCCATCTCTTTAGCCCATCTGAGGAATGTAGGTCTCCTTTTCCTGAAAAAGCCTCCCTTCCTTCCCGGGAGAGGGGAGTTCTGAAGCAGCTACTACAGCTGACATGTTCTTTTCCATTTTAGAAATTCTCCATTTCTTAGGGATGGGTTTGGGGCGGGGACAGTTACTGTCCAGGAATGTGCTCTCGGGTCGGGCACATGGAGATACTGTCCTTTTATCCATTCCTCTCATCCAGAAAAAATTTACCCAATTCAACTCCTTCTGCTAAAGAGACAGACATGGACTTGGAACTCCCTTAACTGAAATACAAATATTCTTAAAGTGAATGCTTCAGTTGACCCAGCCTTCGATATCCCAGGGTCTCTCTGCCAGCGAACACGTGGTGGTCTAGCCACAATACAACCTGGAACCGTGCCTCCTACACAGCCCTGACATCTACCCCCAGTTCACTTTAACCGCTGCAACTCAGAAGTTCCATCACTTGTTTCCTCACAACTGACAAATACCACCAGCAAACGAGACATACCTCTCACCTAACCCATACTGTGGCCTGTGGAACTGTCCTATTAGTCACAGGACACTGTCAGACAGCTTAAAAATGGCCACGTCCGTGCAAAAGAAAATGGATCTCTGGGCCATTTCTAATCATGGAATGCTGGCATCCAAAGACACCAGAGACATGTTAGTCCATGGAAACTCATTTTCCAAATCAGATAACAGAAGTAAGTGTAGCGAGGCTCATTGACCTGCCCAGGGCTTCACCAGGAGACATGTGACCCAGGGAGGATAAGTCAGTGGCTTTGGACTCAGCAGTTTCCTGAGACTGTGGTATCTCAGTCCATGAGGAGGGACTGAAGCAGGCTCAATGCTGGCAGAGGCAAGCCTGGGGGCAAGTGGGGAGAGGGCATCCCCTTGGGAAGAGGGTCCTACGGTTGAGAGATACGTCACAAGGTAACAGAGAAGGTAGACAAGGCCCTACCCTGAGTGTGAGAGACAGAGGGGGAGCGTCCGATCAGCGGCCGCTGCTGTTCACCAGGCCATGAAACTCCTCCCAGGCCCTGGCAAACCAGAGACAAAAAACACAATAGTACATTCAGATCAAAGGCTTTTTAACAAAGAGAAAACAGACAAGATAAACCCACACCCCATTTCAGATACCCTCAAGGTCAAGTGGAGCCCACCGATACCTGGAAGCACAGCAGTGAGGTTCCCCTCCTAGACTTTACTCTCAGCTTAGCGGGGTGGCCGGCACCTTTCAGGGGGCAGCTGGCACTTCTCCTGGCTCGTCTCCTGGCTAAGTTTGGCCCTCACTACTCCCTAGAGGATTTGCACGTCCTTCTAGCCACTCCTTCAACAAGTCTACAGGGGAGACCAGTGAGGTCAGAGCTAAGCTCACCCACCATGGGAGACACCTCCAATTCACTGAGACAAAGGGCAGCTGTGCTTTCTGCCTTGGGGACGTGAGGACAGGTGGCAGAAACTATCTTTCTTCATCAGGCCTCACCCTGACGGTAAAGGCAGGTACCCAACAGCATTACAATGTCCAAAGACGCAATGAGGAAATTACACCACTTTATCTGCTTTTGTATTTCCAACCTTCTGACCCTTCTAAACTCAGACCCAAATTCTTACCAGGTTACATGTTTCTAATAATACCCAAGTAACTATTATCTTAAAATTAAGTTGTATTATGTCACAGCAGCTCAAAATTTCCAAGGGCCTATGCTCAACACAACTTTAATGCTTATTAACTTAATTTAGAAATTGGAGTTAGAAAGGGATAAGAAATGTGACTGACGGTAGAGTCTCTTGGAATGATGCTCCACGAAGACCAGGGCCTTGGTGACTGCTGGCCAGAAACCAGGAGAAAGCCAGATCCCCTGTGTATCCGGAAGCCTTAACGCACCTCAAGTTTTCTGAGAGGAGCTTATGCCCTTCCTGTTTGCCTTAACCATTTTTCAGCCACTTCCCTGGGAATTATATATAAAATGGGTAATTTGGTGCCTTTAAATCTAAAATTCCTTACTGTCAATTATTCCATTCTTGGTTTAAAGGGGTGATATACCCATGGTGACAACATATAGGGTTTAATGTGCTAAATTATTAGCTCACTGCAGGTTTAATATTATGACCACTAAAATATATTTTATCAGTAGGTCTCCTACAGATAGCTTTTCTTTTTTTAAATAGGAAGGGATTAAATACAGAAACCTGGCACAACAAATTCATTCTTCCAGGCAATATTCACATCAGTTTCATTAGTATTTCCCTCTTGTAAACAGCAGCATTTATAAGTTAATGATGTATCTCTCGGAATAAGAGATTGGTCTGAAGTTAATGGTTTCTTCAGAGAGAGTATTGCCAAAATACTGATACAGCTATGTTAACTGAAGGAAAATGGAAGAGCACCCAATAAGCTGCCAGCCTTTTATCAATTCACAGACTCAGTTTCCACAGAAAGACATGTACTTCACAGCTCCTTCTGGAGAGATGGTAGCGTGATGAGCTTTGAGAGTCCACGAGTGATGTCAGAAGGTCACTTCACTCTTCACAAATGGAGATAAGGAGAAGGCAAACTCTGACGCTTGGGACACCCCTCTCTTGCTCTAAAGGTGAGACTTAAATTCTATTTAAGCAACTGAGGTGTCAACAAGAAATTACATGGCTGTGTTGAAGCTTCACCTCATTTATCCTTTTGTCTCCAGAAAGCCCTACACTAGTCCAAACAGAAGTCTGTGTCAAGAACCTTCAGAAACATGGATGTCAGAGCCCCTCTGGTGCAGCTAGTATTACTCTGCCTCCCATTTTCTTCAGCAGCCTTTTCTTCACATGTAAAAACTTCAACATGAAGAATGTGGGCAAAGTTTCCTCATGTGGATTCAGTGGAGATAAAATAGCTGATGGTCACAGTCACTGGTAAAATCGCTGGTGCTCACAGGCCAATGCTTGACTAAGAGGCAAATCAAGCGCCTCAAACTAGGTGCGAATGTTCTAGCTATTTTCCATCTGGCATCCCAGGCATATTAGTAATATTAAAACTTGTTTCTTTTAAAGGTAAAAGAAAGAACAAGTTAAATGTTAAAACTGTCATGTAAATTGAGTTTCTTAAAAAAATATTCTTTTTTAAATTACCGTGAGATTAATATAGCCTACAGGGCATTCTAAACAGATTCAAATGTCAGGACAACAATGAGTCCTTTAAAGACCACTTTTTACCAGCTCACTTACCAGAAAGCAAACTCTGAGAGCAGAGATCTCATTTCTGTGTAACTCTGTACTTGCCCCTACTCTGGCCCAAATCTCAGTTCACAGCCTTGCACTCAGCTGGCCCTCATACTCATGGACGAACTTGGCCTCCTGCTAGTCTGGGCTTTACCTTGAACATCAGCATAGGGGAACATTTCACAAATGCAAAGTCCAGCAATTATGCTGGTATGACCCAGTGCCACCTGGCTATGATTTAGCCATGGCAAGAGAAGGGATGGTTGGTTCTTGCCTATGAAGTTCAATGTTTAAATACAATGAAATCTAGAGGTGGTGAAGTCCCCGTGATTCGACCCATTTCTCCTCTAGAATAAATGAATAAAGAGAAGTCACCTACCCTCAGCTCTCTCTGCGGAGGGACCTGGTCAGTCTTCCCAACACTGTGGCCCACTGAGTGCAGCTGGCCCTGTCTTCCCTCTCCCATTCCAGGCCAGAGGCACGAAGGGACTCAAGAGACTACTCCAAAGAGGAATTTCCTCACAAGAGGCACTGCTGCTGTATATGGCTCTGCGCCCCAAGTCTTATCCTGTGGTCCCGTGATCCTGGGTTGCAAGTCTGGCTGTGTTATGAGATTGTCCTCAAAGTGGCGGATACAGTGAATCACTTGATGCCCGCAAGGACCCAAATCTCTGAAATCTCAGCTATGATTGGCCTCATTAGAAAGAGCCACACCCCTGAGCTAACACTCAACTGAACCAGTTTCACGTTTCTCAGTGGGACCCATGCACCCTTAAGGGGCTAACTGTTGGCAATAAGCAAGGGTACGAGGCAGCAGGCAGCATCCCCTCTGCAGCAAAGCAGCTCGTCATGCCCTGTGCACAGCATCAGCCTCTCAGGAGTGCAGCAGGAAAAGGCCACAAGCAGTGTGATCAGGGGAAGCCTGGGAAAACCAGATGGTTGAAAAAGGACACTGGAGACTGGACTGAAACAGAGCAAGGTGGAGGTACGCTTGACTGAGAAATCTAAGCCACCCCTAAAAAAATTCCCCTCACCATTTCCAGGAGCCCTAATCTCCAGAGTAGGTGGGAGAGAACTGCTGGCTCTTTCTTCCTCATTTCCCTTGAATTCTCAAGTCCAAGCAGCTCCAATTCCTTGGCTCAAACAGAGCCACACCTGTGGGAGAGCCACAAGGAGCAGAACAAAGCAGAACAGTTCGTTTCTGTTCAGATGTGGCAAGGATCACAGGGGTCTCAAGGTCAGTTTGGTGCTTTCTGATCAACTCTTACTTTGGAAGGTGACATCAAGCTCATCCCCTGGACCAGTTACATTAGCTGAAATTAAGGTCAATGCATGTAACATTACAGTGGAAGGCAAGAGGGAAAGGGCCATAGAAGGTAATTCTTTGACAAACGCTGAAAACAGAGAGAATAGGCATTTCCATACATCAACAAATCTCCATCTTCTAGGTCCTTCAACCAATTTGGGGTACATAATAGAAAAAAGCAACGACACGAACACCTCCAGGATGCTGAGCCCAGGGCACTTTAGTCCCAGTGTGTGTTCTGTGGGATCCCAGGCCACGTGGAGCCCGATGGTCAGTGAGGATGGTATAGCTCAGGGTGCTGCTGCCATAATGGAAGAGCACAGCCACTCTGGCAAACTCCACGTTATGCCCACAGCCACCTTCACAGGCGTGATCAGGCAACCTGGCCTAGTGCGGGCAAGTGTTTCATTTCTGGTTTTGGTGGTAGCCCCTCAGAAAGCCTAAAGTAACGTAAGGCTTGCTGAAATTCTACATGCAGGTTAGGGGCCTGAAGGCCAAGCTGTAGCACATACACGCCAAGCCACAAAGCACACGAGGGGCTGGTATGTGCTATGTATGGTCAGATGCCCTAAGGAGCACACTCAAGCAGGACAAAGACATCTCCCCACCCCAGGTCCTGATGCACAACAGCCCTGGGGACTGGGAGGAAGGGAAGGGCTAGAACCTTGAGGCCGTGCAGGCAGGGCGAGCTCTAAGAGGAAGCTGACCTGGCTCTCAGGGGAGAGCAGAAGGGCGAAGGCTGGCCAAGAGCTTGCGGCCTGGGCGGCTTTAGCACAGTGAGAAACCCATTAACACAAAGCACGGAAGCTCTACACGTACAGCCGCACACAGACGGAAGCAGGGCTTACCTCCAAGCAAGAGATTTCTTTGAAGTGAGACAAACAAAGTCAGCAAAGCAAAGGCCAAGGATCCCCCTTTCCAACCGTACGGACTTTCAAGCTGAATTCTAAGTCAGAAATCACTCTGTTCTGGTCATCGGCATGACTAGATGGAAACTAAAATTCAAATACCAAAAAAATGGGGTCTCATTTTGAGAGCTAGATATCACCTCATTATGTCAGACCTCAGCAGAGCTGGAACAAAATACCATGTGACGTTATACAATGGGCTTATGGAAATGAGGCTGCGTTCCCCGGATGGCCCTCCACGGAGAAGTCTGTGCCATTCCTTAATATGATGACAGTCAGTCTGAAAGGCCACTTCTTTGATGCACCATAAAGAGCAAGAGCATGAGACAAGCTAGTTTAGCACCATTTATTAAGTGATCTCAGCTGTTGTTGTAGCTGCTGCGTGTCAGCCTGTTCTTAAAACATAAAATGCTCTTCCGGATCCTCTTGTCCGGGACAGAAG